GTCACCTATAGCCTTCCAAGCCCGTTCTCCCGTGTATGCTTTGAAGAGAGCACATATGCGAGCTATCTTTCTGCGCTTTGTCAAGGTTTCCCAGTTCGATTCGTTCCTATGGTGTGCAAATTTAGCCGCTTTCTTTTGCACCCGGTCTAACGCATTTATCTGTCCCTCCCTGTAAGGATCCCAGCACGCCGCCCCATATTCCAGAATCGGACGCACTAAAGATGTGTATGCTAGACTTTTAGTTTTGCTATTTCCCTTTTTTAGAATACGCATTGTAAAATGAAGTGCCTTCCAGGCTCTTTTCACAGTGTAATTAACTTGATCAGACCAGCTTAGGTCGCTGCGTAAAATTATTCCCAGATATTTACAGCTGCTCGCTTCTGGGATTACTGTGCCCCCTAGCGAATAATTTAGTGGCTCCGTTACTCGAGCCCTCGTGAAACAAACTGCCTTACTTTTAGTTGGATTAATTTTCATCTCATTTTCAACCGCCCATTTCCCAAGTCTGTTCAGATCTATCTGCAACTTTTCCTTATCATTATTATTTTTAATTTTCCTATATATTATACAGTCATCCGCGAATAGCCTAATAGTTGACTCAATATTTCTCCAAATATCATTGACGTAGGCGAGGAACAGTAGTGGGCCCAGCACACTTCCTTGCGGTACTCCTGACGTTGTTCTGACTTCCTCCGATAGTTGCCCTCCTACTCTGACTCTCTGCGTACGGCCCAAAAGGAATTCCCTTATCCATATAACTACCCTTGAGTCCACTCCTGAGGCCGCAATTTTCGTAAGCAGACGATCATGACAAACTAAATCGAAGGCCTTCGAAAAATCTATTACAATTGTGTCTATTCTACTTCCGTTATCCAGTGAGTCTGCAATGTCTTGGTAGACCGTGATTACTTGACTTTCACATGAATATCCCGGCCTGAAGCCATGCTGACCCTCAAATAACCAATCATTTTTATCCCATATTTTCCTCAGGTACGATGCTATAACGTGTTCCATTTGCTTGCATACTACTGAGGTTAAACTGATGGGTCTATAGTTGGAGACCAGCGATCGATTACCTCCCTTGTAAACAGGAACCACTATGGCCTGTTTCCAATCACCTGGAATAGCGGCATTATTAATTGTCACATCCAGTAATCGCGCCAGGTATGGAATCATGGCTTCCCCACCCAGTTTTAGAATTTCACCAGAAATGCTGTCTGGCCCTACTGATTTGTTCTCACCTATTGCTGCTAACCTTTTCCTAATAATTTTCGTACTAACTGCGAAGGGTTCCCCTGAGATATCGTGCTGTATTTGCGAGATGCTACGCTCACTGCTGAATACGGAATAGTAATATAAGTTGAGGAAGTTAGCCTTTTCTATCGAATCAGTAACGAGTCGTCCATTAACATCTTTGATTGCAGGAATATTTTCCCTATTTCCTTTGCGTCTTTTTACATACTTATAGAACTCAGTCCAGCAGTTACCTTCATTTTTTAATACAGTCCTTAAAAATATCTCCTGCGCATTTTGCTTGGCTAATAACAACTGCTTGGATAATCGCTTCAGTTCCTCTCGATACTGCTGCCCTAATTTTCTTCTATTATATGCTTTTCTGACCTTTAATTTTAATTTTTTCACTTCCTTATTGTAGTAGTCAGGGTCTGAATTTTTTCTGCATATTCTATGTGGAATAAATCTTTCGATACACTGAAGTATTATGTTCTTGAAATTATTCCATACTTCCTCAACGCATCCACCATTGCTTGCCCATATTGCAAATTTATCCCGGAGAAAAGTTTGTAGACCTA